TAGCCTCTAAGAAAAAACGAGGTGGGTGGGTGGGCGGGGCTAGTAGCTGCCAAGATAAAACTGATCTTGGCAAATGACATACCTTCTAAGAAAAGAGAGGGTGGGTGGGCGGGGCTGGTACCTGCTAAGATAAAACTGATTTTGGCAAAGGACATACCCTCTAAGAAAAGAGAAGGTGGGCGGGCGAGGCTAGTAGCTGCCATGACAAGAGTGATTTTGGCAAATGAGATACCCTCTAAGAGAAGACAGTGTGCGTGGGTGGGGCTAGTACCTGGTAAGATAAAACTGATTTTGGCAAATGAGATACCTTCTAAGAAAAGAGAGGGTGGGTGGGCGGGGCTAGTCGCTGATAAGATAAGATTGATTTTGGCAAATGAGACATCCTCTAAGAGAAGCTACTAGCCCCGCCCACCCACCCTCTCTTTTCTTCGAAGGTATCTCATTTGCCAAAATCACTCTTATCTTGGCAGCTACTAGCCCCGCCCACCCACCCTCTCTATTCTTAGAGGGTATGTCCATTTGCCAAAATCAGTTTTATCTTGGCAGCTACTAAATGATATTCTTAACAAAAAGTACTTGTACTATCTTCCAAATAAAAATAGTAGTCCACATTACCCTAAATATTATATGTCATCATTAATAAATTGTATTTAAAATTGTAATAATTTTTAAAACATTATAAACACCTGTATGTTAAAATTCACTTTTATTTATAGAACAACAAAAAGCATCCTTTATTTATCTTTGCATAAAATATTATAATACAAATTTTAAGAATAACCCTGTTGTGATTTTCTTGTGAACCTTTCCAATACTAAAAAATTTTAAGAAAATTGAAACAACCTGGCAATATCGCATCGGAATTACAAAAATTAACTTCGCTTATAAAACCTAAGACGAGGCTAATTAGAACATCTAAAAATATATAGAGTTCTTCATTAAAAAAAAAGTAAAATGTGGATTACGTTTTAAAAATAGAACACTCTGTATAATTGAAAATAATTTGAGTGTAGAATACATATAAATACAATAGTGTATAACATAAAGATCCCTACTACTCCAGTCCTTGACGTTTTTTCCATTTCTAATAATAATAAATGACACATCGAAGGGTGACTCACCCTGTATATTTTTCCATTTTTTTCCTACTTTTTACTTTAAAATATGATGTGCCATTATCAAGCCAAATTTTAAACTCTTTGGTGTTATCATTAATTTTCTTGTTTTTCTTTTGAGTTTCTTCTTTTATCATTTTCACTTTCATAAGGGAAGTATTGTGTCTGACGACTCTAATTTTTTGTGAAATTAATGTGAACTGAAATTAAAAATGATATTCTTAACAAAAAATACTTGTGCTAGCTTGCAGAAAAAAATAGTAGTCCACATGACCCTAAATATTATATATCATAATTAATTGTATTTAAAATTGTAATAATTTTTAAAACGTTATAAACACTCTGTGTGTTAAAATTCAGTTTTATTTATAGAACAACAAAAAGCATCCTTTATTTATCTCTGCATAAAATATTAGAAGAGAAATTTTAAGAATAACCATATTGTGATTTTCTTGTGAACATTTCCAATACTAAAAAATTTTAAGAAAATGGAAACAACCTGGCAATATCGCATCGGAATAACAAAAATTAACTTCGCTTGTCAAACCTAAATAGAGGTTAATTAGAATGTCTAAAAATATATAGAGTACTTCATTAAAAAAAAAAGTAAATTGTGGATTACGTTCTAAAAACAGAACACTCTGTATAGTTGAAAATAATTTTAGTGTACAATACATATAAATATAGTAGTGTTTAACATCAAGATCCCTACTACTCCAGTCCTTGACTTTTTCCATTTCTAATAATAATTAATGACATATCGAAAGGCGACTCACCCTGTATACTTTCCCATTTTTGCCCTACTTTTGACTTTAAAATATGATGTGCCATTATCAAGCCAAATTTTAAACTCTTTTGTGTTATCATTAATTTTCTTGTTTTTCTTCTGAGTTTCTTCTTTTATCATTTTCACTTTCATAAGGGGAGTATTGTGACTGACGACTCTCTAATTTTTTGTGAAATGAATGTGAAATGAAAAAAAAATTATATTCTTAACAAAAAGTACTCGTCCTACATTACAGAAAAAGTAGTAGTCCACATGATACTAAATATTATATATAATCATTAACTGCAATTAAAATTGTTATACTTTTTAAAACATTATAACTCTGTATTTAAAATTCAACTTTATTTATACCGCAATAAAGACCATATCTTTATTTATCACCGCACAAAATGTTATAAGACAAATTTTAAAAATAATCCTTTTGTGATTTTCTTGTGAACCCTTCCCATACTAAAAGAATTTCAAGAAAATTGGAACAACTTGACAACGTCGCACTTAATTTTGCTAATAAAATCTAAGGAGAGGTTAATCAGAATACCGAAAAATATATAGAGCATTCCATTAAGAAAAGTAAGTTGTGTGTTACGCCTTAAATACAGAACACTCTGTGTAGTTGAAAATAATTTTAGTGTATAATACATATAAATACAATAGTGTGTAACATTTATAAAGATCCATAAGATTCCAGTCCTTGACTTTTTTCATTTCTAATAATAATAATTTATGAGATATCGGGGAGCCCACTCACCCTGTATATTTTTTCACTTTTTTGCCACTTTTGGCTTTAAAATATAATGTGCCTGTTTCAAGCCAAATTTTAAATTCTTTGGTTTAGTCGTGAACTTTTTTTTGTTTTTCTACAGAATTTCTTCTTTTATCATTTTCACTTTTATAAGGGGAGTATTGAGACTGACAACTCTCTAATTTTTTGTGAAATGTATGTGAAGTGAAATTAAAAATGATATTCTAAACAAAAAGTACTAGTCCTACATTATAGAAAAAGTAGTAGTCCACATGATACTAAATATTATATATAATCATTAACTGTATTCAAAATTGTTGTACTTTTTAAAACATTATAAAAACTCTGTATTTAAAATTCAATTTTATTTATACTGCAATAAAGAGCATATCTTTATTTATCTCCGCACAAAATGTTATAAGACAAATTTTAAAAATATTCCTATTGCGATTTTCTTGTGAATCCTTCCAATACTAAAATAATTTCAAGAAAATTGGAACAACTTGACAATGTCGCATTTAATTTTGCTAATAAAACCTAAGGAGAGGTTAATCAGAATACCGAAAAATATACAGAGTATTCCATTAAGAAAAGTAAGTTGTGTGTTACGCCTTGAATACAGAACACTCTGTGTAGTTGAAAATAATTTCAGTGTATAATACATATAAATACAATAGTGTGTAACATTTATAAAGATCCTTAAGACTCCAGTCCTTGGCTTTTTTTTCATTTCTAATAATAATTTATGAGATATCGGGAACCCACTCACCCTGTATACTTTTTCACTTTTTTGCCACTTTTGGCTTTTCAATATGATGCGCCTTTTTCAAGCCAAATACTAAATTCTTTGGTTTAGTCCTTAACTTTTTTTTTGTTTTCCATCAGAATTTCTTCTTTTATCATTTTTATTTTCATAAGGGGAGTATTGTGACTGACGAATCTCTAAATTTTTGCCAAATAAATGTGAAATTAAATTAAAAATGACTTTCTAAACAAAAAGTACTTGTGCTATGTTGCAGATGACCTTAGATTGTACAATATATCATTGATTGTATTTAAATTTCTTATTAAACTTAGCTTCCACTACTTACTTATCGATAATAAGGGCAATATTATCTCTCAAAGAAAATCTGGGACACTACACACACTATTAATCACGATTAAGACTAATTAAAAATTAACGGCAAATATACCGAATGTTTAAATATCATAATTTCTGTGCTGATAAATTTCCCGTAATTATTTAATATTAGAAGCCTAATTAAATTTTTATTGGAATTTTTTCGACACCATATGGGATCCTGCTGTTCTGACGGTAAACAGTTTGAATCAAATGAGATACCTCTGGACAAATATAATATTGAATTAACAACGCCAAAAATAAACAAAAATAAACAATCGCGTTCGTTTTTAACGCGAAATAATTGACATTAATATATTTAACTGTATAGTATGCTTTGAACACGTACTTCATTTAACGGACAAAGCGACGAATAAAATGAAATTCGGAGATCAACAAGAGACGTTATAAAGACCGTTTGAAAGTGTTTCATGACTTTGAAAAAAACAGTAAATTAGAATCCCCCTTAATCTGCGGCGTAGCAACAACCTTAAGTCAAGTAATGCAGCTTAAGTGAGCTCTGTAAATTTATTTATCTTTTTTTTTAACCTGACCCTAATAGTTTATGATTTTATTGCTGTAAAACTTCGAATTTGGAAAGTAAATTTTCAGAAATTAAGTGACGTCTTCCGTTGAATCGACTTTCAAACCGGTCGGGCTGGATCATAATACACTTGGTCCCTGCATTCCAAAAAATAATGAGTAAATATTTTCATAAAATTCTACAACAGAACTAAATTTAAAATAGAGCCCAAAAACTTTAGTTAACTTAGAATCGATTTTGCTGTGACCGTAAACTCGACAAAATGCCGTTAATGTTAAGCGCGGAGTTCTAATTGTTTAGACAAAGTTATCTCAGATATTGAACTTTTGGATGGGAATTTTCCAAAATTTTGTAAAAAATTGTCAAACTCGTTTACATTTCCGGTGGTGACAATCATTATAAATAATATATAATAGTGAAATTAAAAAAACAAAACCGTTTCCTTATGTTATGAAACACGTATGTCTTTGCAGACAACATGAATAGACTTCTCCGTTAACCATGAAATAATGAATGGTCTATTGTAAATATTTCATCTTGGCAGAACGGATCAAAAGATAATGTGAAACCAGATCACTTTGGCGGCAAAATAGAAGTACTCGGATATGGTTATCAGGTCAGTATAAATAGTACTTTATTTTTACAAATAGAAGAGCGAAGGTACTACTTACAATTTAGTTATTTGTACTTACCTCTGGTACCGGATGCATATATCCAAAACACTCACTCAGCACGTGTGGAACTGCGTTAGAAGAAAAGCACCATGCAGCAAGCACACTTCACTGCATTAGACTGACGGTACGAGAAGCAGCAGGCCCGGTACGAGTGCGGTAGAGAGTGGTATTTCTGTAACCTACTAAATGTGATACCAGTTTCCAATCCAAGCTATGTAGTGACCTCAATGCGACTGCAGGTGAGCATCGCGCCGTCGAAATGGTATCAGTACTTCATGAAATCTGATTAGAAACAATATGCATAAAAGACAGTTAAATAAATCTAAAAATTTACATAAGAAAGAAAAAGTGGGTGAATTTGTCGAGTAAGCTTGAATTATTTATTAGGATGGCTGGTGTTGCTAATCGTTAGCACACTATTGACTCCTCGGTACTGTTTACGACGAAGCAATAACAATAAATTATAATAGGTCGCATCAAAAATAATAAATAATGTGACCGTAACTTTCTATTTTATTAATATTGGATCTTTTTACATCGTTCTAACGGTCCCCGAGAGATTCATAACAATAAATTTTACGTTCGTCGTGAAACTTGATGGGAAACTAATAATGCGAAACTAAAGTGACAGGGCTTGTTCAGAATCGTACCAAAATTTCCATATTTCACTAATCTACTTAAACTGTCACCGCGCTATCAGTTTAGTTTGAAAGTCTGAACCGGTTGAAGTTTTTGAATGTGAGGGTTTCCCAATAGGAAAGCCACCTACTTGGAACCTTTTAGCCAGTCTAGACTGGTGTCATAGAAAGTACTAATAATTAGCATTTTTTGCTAGTAATATCTACAAATAAATAAATTTACCTCAATCAATTATGTCATTAATAAACAATGATTGCAAAAGCCGCCAAGAATTCAGGAAATAATCGCGGTTTCAGATGCATCAGTGGTTTCAGCCGGCAGTTGCTCCATTTTTCGTACGTCACTTTTTATGACTTAAGTCAACTTTTCACCTGTCAAGAAGAAATTAATTACAGACGTTAAATAACGATGTTATCTATATGCATACAATACAGCTGCCCGAAATTAGCGCATCGTATTAACTAATCTTTCTCATCGCAACAATTATTGTTGCGATTTAAGCAATGGGTACTACTTGAACTTTTGAAAACGACAAAATAATGCAACGTGAAGTATGTGTGTAAGAGGATTCGCGTTCGCACGTTATACTTCGATAGAATTAAATAGTGTAATAAAAATGTCACAACGGAGGTATAGAAATGTCAAAAGTATGGCGACCCGAAAGTTTTTTCTGATTACGGTTTTAAACCTACTTCTGAGAGAATAAATCGCGGTGTAATTTAATTAAAGAATTAAACAATAAAATTTGATGGCAATAATCTTGTCTGCGAGTTTTCTTCGTTAAAAAACAAATAAAGTTGGAGGAATGGGGTCAAACGTGGTACAGTTACAAACAAGGATTCCGAAAGAGTTTTATAAAATAACAAGTCGTAAACAATTTAAAACATGCGATTTCTGAAATTGAGAGTATTTTTGTTTAGTGGTACCGAATAAACTGGTTTTGAAGTAGTCCAACAAGACAAAACTAATCCAGTATTTCCATTAATATTAATTATTTAATGCATCCAGTAAAAGTGTAGATTTAATCTGATTTTGATTAGTCGATTTTAAATAGAAACTAGATACACATTTATAAAAAAAATGTCAACTGCGAATTTTGTACAAGCGTTTAAAATATTTATGTAAATTTAGTGATTTAAGATATATGACTTTCTGGAGACTCTGACTTTTACAAATTTGTTTGTTTACGCTCTAAAGAGTTACAGATGAGACCTCAATTTATGTTTAAAAAAAATAAAAAAAATTGAAATACCAATTACAAGTCTTTTAAAAATAAAACACTACACAGCCTCTATCTAAAACCTTTCACATTCTTAAAAAAAGCACAAAGGATCCCCAGATTCTTTCACTTCTTGAAAGAAAGAGACACTAGGTTCCCCAAGATGCTCTCACAATCTCCTAAAGAAAATACTAGGGGTTCCTAAGATTTTTTCACACTCTTTATAAAATAAAACACCAGAGACCTCCAAGGCTCTGTCACAATATTAAAATAAAGATTCGAAGGGTCCCCGAGATTCTTCGAAACTCTTTTAAAAATAAAACACCAGAGGGCGCCTAAGACTTTTTCACAGTCTTAAGCAAACACTAGGGACCCACACTTTCTTTAAAAAAAATACTAAGAGCCCCTAAGATTATTTCACTTTTTTTTAAGAAACTAGGGGCCCCCGAGATTGTTTCATATTCATAACAAAAGACAGAATTTTTAAAAAACACACAAAGTTCTCCAAGCCTGTTCCATATCCTTTAAAAAAAGACACTAGGGACCCCCGATATTGTTTGACATAAAAAAACATATTCCAGGGCTCTCGAAATTCTTTCACATTCTTTACAAAAAAAGCAGTTGGAACCCTTAGGATTGTTTAACATTGTTTTAAGACATTAGGGGGGGGGAGAGATTGTTTCAGATTCTTCACAAAAAAAGCAATTGGACCCTTAGGAATATTTCACATTATTTTAAGACAGTAGGGGAGCCCGAAACTGTTTCATATTCTTCACAAAAAAGGAGTAGGAGCTCTTAAGATTGTTTCACATTTTTTAAGGCACTAAGGGAACCGGAGACTTTCATATTTTTTTAAGACACTAAGGAGGCATGAGATGGTTTCACATTTTTACAAAAAAAAACAGTAAGAGCCCTTAAGAGTGTTTCACATTTCTTTAAGACACTAGGGAGCCCCGAGATTTTTTCAGAATCTTCACAAAAAAAAACAGTAGACGCCCTTAAGATTGTTTCACATTTTTAAGACACTAAGGGGGCCAGAGATTGATTGATATTTTTTTAAGACACTAGGGGTTCCGAGATTGTTTCACATTTTTATCAAAAAAAAGGTAGGAGCCCTTAAAATTGTTTCACAATTTTTTAAAACACTAGGGATCCCCGAGATTGTTTCACATTTTTTAAGACACTATGGGGCCCGAGATTGTTTTATATTCTTAACAAAACAAGCACTAGGAGCCCTTGCGATTGTTTCACTTTTTTTAAGACACAAAGAGGGCCCGCGATTGTTTCATATTTTTTTAAGACACAAGGGAAACTCGAGATTGTTTCACATTCTTAGCAAAAAAAAAGTTGGAGCCCTTAAAATTGTTTTACAGTTTTTTAAGACACTTAGGAACCCCGAGATCGTTTCACATTTTTTTAAGATACCTGGGAGACTCGAGATTGTTTCACATTCTTCACAAAGAAAAAGCAGTAGAAGCCCTTAAGATTGTTAAACATTATTTTAGACACAATGGGGCCCGAGATTGTTCACATTCTCAGAAAAAAAACAGTAGGAGCCCTTAAGACTCTTTCACCATTTTTTAAGACACTAGGGAGTCCTGAGATTGTTTCACATTCTTTACAAAAAAAGCAATAGAAGCAGTTATGAATATTTCATATTTTTTTAAGATACTAGAGGAGACCCGAGATTGCTTCACATTCTTCACAAAAAAAAACAGTAGGAGCTTTTAAGATTACTTCACATTGTTTAAGACACTAAGGGAACGGGAGACTGTTTCATATTTTTTAAGACACTAGGGAGGCCTGAGCTAATTTCACATTCTTAGCAAAAAAAACAGTAGGAGCCCTTAAGATTGTTTCACATTTCTTTAAGACACTAGGGAGCCCCGAGATTGTTTCAGAATCTTCACAAAAAAACAGTAGAAGCCCTTAAGATTGTTTCACATTTTTTAAAACACTAAGGGGCCGGAGATTCTTTCATAATTTTTTTAAGACTCTAGGGGGGCCCAAAAATGTTTCACATGCTTATCAAAAAAAAAAAACAGTAGGAGCCCTTAAAATTGTTTCACATTTTTTTAAGACACTATGGGGCCCGAGATTGTTTCACATTCTTAGCAAAAAAACAGTGGGCGCCGTTAAGATTGTTTCATCGATTTTTAAGACACTAGGGAGTCCCGAGATTCTTTCACATTTTTTTAAGACACTAGAGAGACCAGAGATCGTTTCACATTTTTTAACACTAGGGAGATCCGAGATTATTTCACATTTTTTAAGACACACAAAGGGCCCGAGATTGTTTCATATTTTTTAAGAAACTAGTCAGACCCGAGATTGTTTCACATTCTTAGCAAAAAAAGTAGGAGCCCTTAAAATTGTTTCACAGTTTTTTAAGACATTTGGGAACTCCGCGATTGTTTCACATTTTGTTAATATATACGCTAGGGAGACCCGAAATTGTTTCACATTCTTCACAAAAAATGCAATAGGAGCCCTTCAGAATATTTCACATTTTTTAAGACACTAGGGGAGCCCGAGATTGTTTCACATTCTTCACAAAATAAGCAAGAGGACCCCTTAAGATTGTTTCACATTTTTTAAGACACTAGGGGGACCCAAAATTGTTTCACATTCTTATTAAAAAAACAGTAAGAGCCCTTAAAATTGTTTCACAGTTTTTTCAGACACTAGGGGGCCCCGAGATTGTTTCACATTCTTCACAAAAAAAGCAGTAGGAGCCCTTAAGATTGTTTCGCATTTCTTTAAGACACTAGGTAGCCCCGTGATTGTTTCAGAATCTTCACAAAAAACAGTAGGAGCCCTTAAGATTGTTTCACATTTCTTTAAGACACTAGGTAGCCCCGTGATTGTTTCAGAATCTTCACAAAAAATAGTAGAAGCCCTTAAGATTGTTTCACATTTTTGAAGACATTAAGGGGTCCGAGATTATTTCACATTCTTCACAAAAAAAGCAGTAGAAACTGTTGAGATTGTTTCACATTTTTTAAGACACTAAGGGATCTCGAGACTGTTTAATATATTTTTTAAGACACTAAGGGGGCCTGAGATTGTTTCACATTCTTAGCAAAAAAAACAGCAGGAACCTTTAAGATTGTTTCACATTTTTTTAAGACACTAGGGAGCCCCGAGATTGTTTCACATTCTTCACAAAAAAAACAGTAGACGCCCTTAAGATTGTTTCATATTTTTTTAAGATCCTAAGGGGCCCGAGATTGTTTCACATTCTTCGCAAAAAAAAACAACAGAAGCTCTTAAGATTGTTTCACATTCTTAAGACACTAAGAGAACCCGAGACTGTTTCA